CTCACAGACAGGAGCCTAGCATAGCTGTCCTTTCAGCAGATCGAAACAGATGTGGAGACTCACAGCCAAATTTGGGCAAAGCATAGGGAGGCTTGGGAAAAGTGGGGAGAAGGATAGAAGGACCTGGAGGTGACAGGAGCTCCACAAGACCAATGGAGCCAACTGACCAGGGGCCAGAGGGGCTTGTGGAGGCTGAAGCACCAACCAAGGACCATACATAGACTGGACCTAGGCCCCTTACACAGATGAAGCAGATGGGCAGCTCCGGCTTCATGTGGGCTCCCTAGTAAGGGCTGACTCTGATGTGGACTCTGTTGTCTGCTTTTTGATCACTTTTCCTCGGCAGGGCTGCCTCGCCACGTCTAAGGGAAGAGGTCAAGCTCGGTCCTGATGTGACTTGATGATCCGGGATGGGGGGGTTCCCTTTTCTGAGGAATAGGGGAGGAAGGATGGGGGAAGAGCGAGGATGGGAGAGACCAGAAGGAGAGGAGGGAAGGGCTATGATCAGGATGCAAAGTGAATAAATTAATTAACTAAAAACAAACAAAAAAGCAACAAGTGCAGCCAGGAGTTGGTGGCCCGTGCCTTTAATCCCAGCACTGGGGAGGTAGAGGCAGGTGGACCTCAGTGAGTTCAAGTCCAGCCTGGTCTACAGAGTGAGTTCCAGGACAGCCAAGGCTACACGGAGAGACCCTGTCTCAAAAAAAAAAAAAACAACAACAACAACAACACACACACACACACACACACACACAAAAAAAAAAAAAACTCCATCAAAATAAATAAATAGAATTGAGTGATAGAGGGAGATATCTGACATTGACCTCTGGCCTACATACACTCACACACACACACACACACACACACACACGTACAGACTTACACACACATATGCACACACACACACACACACACACACACACACGGACACACACCATGCACAAGCTCAGAGCCAGCAGTCAGCACACAGGAGTGTCAAGGGCAGGAGCGCAGGAGCCACTGTCCAGGGATACACACAGATCTGGATCTGATTTGAGGCGTTTTCTGACTTTCCTCTCTACAGGACGGTTGGTCACTAGTGGGTGGGACTGACGGGCTAAGGGTAGGTCAGTGGGAGGAAAGACCTGGATGACAGAGAGCAAGACCTCCACCATGAAGGCAGACCAGAGGCCACTCTGTTAGTTTGACTCCTCAGAGGAAACTGCACAAGGGACACAAAGAGGGACGGTATCCTCGAGAGTCACAAATGCAGGGCGGCTGGCATGACCAGAGCGTTGCCCTCAAGGCTGGGCAAAGCTGGCTTGCTCTCCACATCCTGTTTAAGAGGCCTTAACTCTGAAGCTGGGGACGGCGCCTCCCCTGGTCTGTTCAGCACATGATTCTCTTCTAGAAGGACTGGAATGAGGAGCATTTGTGGAGACAGAGTGCATGGCGGGTTTGGGGGGGGGGGGGAACACGGAACAAGCCAGGGAAACTGAGGGCTGGTGCAGCTCCAAGAAGCATTAGGGGTCTGGAGGGGTGTGTGTGTGTGTGTGTGTGTGTGTGTGTGTGTGTGTGTGTGCAAGCATGCGCGCACATGCGTGTTTGTCCCTGAATAAGACACTTTTTATCTGCTCACTCTGTTTTTTATTCATTTTTGAGAGGGGTCGCTACCTCAGGCGGGCCTTAAACTCACGGTCTTAGTTTGCTTTCTGTGGCTGTGCTAAAGCACCGTGACTGAAAGCAACTTGGGGAGGGAAGAGCTTATGTGGCTTACATATCCCAAAGCAGGAACCTGGAGGCAGGACCCGAAGTCCAGACAATGGAGGCGTGCCGCTTACTGGCCTGCCCTCCCCCTCCACGGCTTCCTTAGCCAGATTTCGTACACAACCCAGAACCACCAGGGGCTGCACCACCCACCGTGGGCTTGGCCCTCCTCTTCAAGAAAATGCCCCCCTGTGCCTACAGGCCAACCTGACTGAGGCATTTTCTCAACTAACGTCTCCTCTTCCCAGTCAGTCCTGACCAACTCAAAGAAGCAAGAAATCAGCGACAGTGACCACACCCGACTCCTTGTCAACCTGACACACGAATATGTCATTACTAAGTCAGAACCTTTCTCTTCCTGTTTACCCCAAAGATCATGTTACTACTACGGAATAAAACATGGAATAGCTTTAAAAGTCCCAACCTTTCAAACACTTTAAAAGTTCAAGTTCTCTTCAGAAACCCATTATCTCTTTAAAAGCCCCAAGTCTCTCAACTGTGGGCTCCTGTGAAATAAAAAATATGTTACATACTTCTTATTCCAAGAGGGAAGAACCAGGGTATCGTTACAAGCAGATCAAAGCAAAACTAGAGAGTTCAACAGTGTAGATACCTCTGATTCTGCTCTCTGGGACTCACTGGCGACCTACGCTCCAAAAGGCTCGGGCACCTCATTTCTCTGGCTGTGCCGTCCACAACACTTACAAAGGGTTCCTTCCCAACACTGTAAATGCCATCACAGCCCCCCCCCCCCCAACAGCATGGTCAAGTCTGTCACGGCTGTGCCCTATTGCTGGTACCAGCCTCTATCCTCGTTTGCTGGCTACTTCAGTGATAAACACCAGGGCCAAAAGCAACATGGGAGGAAAGGGCTTGTTTCATCTCTCGGGTCACACCCCGTCACTGAGGGAAGTCAAGGCAGGAGCTGAAGCAGAGGCCATGCAGGATCACTGCACATTGGCTGGCTTCCCATGGTTTGTCCGCCTGCTTTCTTTATGGCGCCCGGAACCACCTGCCCAGGAGTGGCACCGCCCACAGTGGCCTAAGCCCTCCCACATCAACCACTAATCGAGAAAAGAAAACAGTCCCCAGGCTTGCCTGCAGGTGGCTCTGAGGAGTCAATTTTCACAGACGACCCTGCCCCACATCAAGCTGACAAAACAAACAAACAAACAAAACCTAACCAGCATGTTCACCGTGTAGCTGAGGAAGGCCCAGAACTTCTGACCCTCTACTCCTGAGTTCCGGAATGACGGGCACATAGCACACAGGATTATGTGGTACCAGCCTTGGGGAGCTCATAGATTCTGCTGGGCTGGCTGGACAGACATAAGCCTCCAGCTTCTGCCTCCTCAAAGCAGCTGTAAGCTGCTGTGTTCAGCTTTCGTGTGGATGCTGAGAATCCAAACCCAGGTCCTCACATTAATACGGCAGACACTTTCCCAACGATCTGCCTAGCTCCTCAGCCTTCCTACGATGCCTTCTTCTTTTTTTTTCCACTTTTTTAAAATTTTTAATTTTTTCATATTAATTACAGTTTATTCAGTGTGTATCCTGGCTGTAGCCCCATTCCCCATCAACTCCCAATCCCTTCTTTTTAATATTTGTTTTGTTTTATTTTTTTAAGGCAGGATGGCCCTCGCTGACCTGGAACTCACTCTGTAGACCAGGCTGGCCTGGTACACAGAGATCTGCCAGCCTCTGACTCTCAAGTGCTGGCAGTAAGGCATGTGCCACCCTCACCCAGCTTGTTTGTTTGTTTTGTTTTGTTGAGACAGTTTCTCTATGTAGCCTTGGATGTCCCGAACTCATTTTGTAAGCCAGGCTGGCCTCGCACTTATAGGGATCCACCTGCTTCTGCCTCCTAAATGCAAGGATTACAGGTGTGTGCCACCACACCCAGCTCGTTTTTAATTTGTTTTTTAAAATGTATGTAGTGTTATTGGTGGGAGAGTGAAGAAGTGTTGGGTTTAAACCATTCAAGGCAAGTGCCCTGCGCTGAGCCTCATGCCCAGCCAGGAGACCGCCTTTAAAGAATGTGTCCCACAGTGCTTCCTGCTAGCATCATCCTCCTGGAAGCTCAGAGAGGTGTTCCTCTGGGGTCCCCTTTCCAGGACCTTTGCTTAGAAAAAGAGCCAACTGTAGGTGCATCATGACCCAACCGGCCCCTATTTATGGATGTGCCCTGTCTCTTGGAAAAACTCCTAAGTCCCAGTTATGTTTGGGAGTGAGTGTTCTAGAATGCATACTCCTCACCTGAGCAGAGAGCAGGCTGCCAGCAGGCGCAACCCAAATGTGGATCTATAGATGGCTTTCATGTGGGTTAGTGAACCTTCTCCACCAGCAAGCCTAAGGCCCTGGCTTGGAAGGGAGGGCTCGGGCTATGGTTAGACCCGGGTCAGAACATGGCTCTGCTGCTCACTGACTTCACCACCCGGAGCAAACCACAACCTCTCGGTGCCACGGTTTCCCTGCCTGCCAAAGGAGAGGGGCTCAGCTTCTTCTCAGAGTCATGAGGACTGTCTCAAATGATGGCTCTGTGCCTTCCTTGTTAACAAGGCGTCTGTCCACACCAACTGTTCTAGCTACTCATTGTCTCTCTGCATCAAAAGCATTAGAAGGTGACACATGGATGCTTGGAAAGTAAGCTGCTTTCTAAGCCTTTAAAAAAGTCCTCATTGCTCCCACAAGCCATCTACAACCTTGAGTGCACATAGGATCAAACGAGAAATCACTTGAGGAGCCACCTCCCAGCCCTCTCTCTCTCCAGCAGACACTCTCCAAAGCCTGGTGTGGCAGCCACTCAGCTATTCCCCCATGTCCCAGGATGCCTGGCTTTTCTGAGTTTTAGTTTTTCTCACCCAGAACATGGGGGTGGTCATGATCATGACAATGGGGACCTTTGGCCAGGTGGTGTTCCAAAGGCAGGGTTCTCTGTAAGTTTGAGGCCAGCCTGGCCTACAAAGCGAGTTCCAGGACAGCCAGGTCTATGTGGAGAGACTCCAATCTCAAACCAAAATAAAAAAAAAAAAAACAAAGTAAAAAAGATGAGAGACTGATTGAAACTCGCAGACATGAATGCTCTTCTTTCTTTTTTTTTTATTTTCTATTTTGACAAATGCTTTTCAAAAGCAAGAAGTATGCCATGTTTATTACACTGTGGAAAGTTTGTGCTCAGAGATAAGAAACAGTCTTGTAGAAAACAACAAAATAAAAATAAATAAATAAATAAATAAATAGGATCACTTTAAAGGGGGTCCCAGAGTTGGTGAAAGAGGCCCAGGTGGAGTCAGAAGCCGGTGGTCTGCAGCCTGGAGATCTTCCTAAAACCGCTTCAGCACTGTGGAAGGAGGACAGGTGGGGTGATGTCAGACTTTGTGTGAAACTGAGGCAGGAGCTGAGCTCCCCTCACCACACCATGCCTCCATCTTCAGTCCCCAGTTGCTGATGCTGCTTAAAGGCTCTGGGAAAAGCTATCTCATTGGGCCTCAGTTCCTACTGTAAAGTGGGTTGATCATGCCCTTTGCCTTGCACCATCCAGTCTGGGGAACATGGAAGAGAAATGCTCATGCCTTATGAAGGGTGGGCAGCAACAGGCACCCTGCCCCCTGAGGAGCATCTGACTACTCTGATGGAAGGTGGGGTGACCTGTAAGGATGTCAGGACCATGTGATATGTCCTGACAGGCTGCCTTGGTCTTGAAGCCTGTCAGCAAGGGGGAAGAGGGCTGTGCAGGCATTCCAGAGGGCAAACCTGGGGGCCTCTCATGGTGGCACGCCTAGGGGTGGGATGGGTGTGCAGCCTGTGGGGAAGGGGCAAGGTAGGCGCTCACCATTACAGCCCAGCCGACTGACGGAGCCGATCCGGTCTATCCTCTGTCCAAAGCAGCTTGAACTGTGCATCACCTTGGAGTTTCGAAGTCTCTGCAGGACCTGGAGGGCTCTGTCTTGAGACCCAAGGGTTCTTTTGGGGGATTCTTTTGTGGGGCCCTGGTTCTTTGGGAGCTGCATCTGAGCCGTCTCCTCTGACTTTTCCCTCATCAGGTCCAGCAGTTTCTGTAATGAATTGGGGAGCCTGGAATTCAGAAACAAGCTCTGGCTCCTCCACCCCTCATGGTGCCCATTGGTTAAGGGATCTGGTACCCAGTATTGCTGCTTTCTGATTCTCACATGGCTGGTTTCCATGTGAGACCTTTGCATTGCTGCTGCCCAGACCCTCAGGCAGACTCCTATCTGTCCATGCAGACCCTCAGGGCTCACCTGCATCTTGAATTGTTCCGGAGACTGGCTAGGACTGCCCAGAGGGTGGGCTCGACCTCCCAGCGGTGACAGAGAAAGGAAAAGCAGGAGCAGAATCATCTGGGGCAGCACATTCTGGAGATCCATGCTGGAGAAGTGTCGGGCCAGGCTGCTGCTCCTGTCCCACCTCCTCAAGCAGCACGTCTTCTGCCTTCTTCAGCCACCGTGCCTCAGCCTTTTATCTGGGGCTGGGTGTCAGGCCAGCCCTTCTCACGGGCTAGGGGTGGGGCTATCTCTGATTTATCAGCCGCATTCCTGCCTGCTGAGCTCAGGACCCGAGAATTCACCCCTCTGTTCCTGTGTGGAGTATTCGTTGTGGGTGGAGGCTGTGCAGAGCAGGCCTTGTATAGAAATGGGCTGGGCTAGGGTGGGAGTGTGCGGGGGACACTAATGCTTCCCTGTTTCCTGCTCCCCTCTTTGAAGCAAAAAATCCTGAGGCCCTTTAACATCCTTCCCCACCCCCACTGGAAATGGCAGGGAGAACCCCAGCTTTCCCAGCCTGAGGCTAGTGTGGGGCTTATGGGGTGACTCATTGAAAACACTCCCAGACAACACCCACCATCACCAGCTTCCTGGGAAGGGTGTCCTCAGAACCTGTAATCCAGGCCCTGTCCAAGCACTTAGCTGGAAAGGCAGGACCGCTCTGCTACCCAGCACTCTTGTAGCTGTCCGTGGTTCTGATCTCCACAAGTGAACTGCACACAAACTCTCAGGCTCCCTCAACTGATTTCCAGGCAGAAAGATCTGTGTGGCTCACACACCACTCGAATACCCAGCCCCGCCCTCTCACCACCCACTCAAAGCCCTGTGAAGAAGATTTCAGCTCACAGAGGCTCACTCTCCAACACCAACCGATTAAAAGCTGGGAGATGACAAGGAACTTCTGGAATTTTGACCCTCCTCCCACCCTTCGTGAGGAGAGCTGATTAGGGTAGAATTTTGAGAGCCTGGCCCAGAGATGAGGTCATGTAGGAAGACCTTCTGGGGCATGTCCAGGTGCCAAAGTCTCCTCCCCGACTGTGAGTGAAAGAGGAAGAGAGTCTAGACACTAGCGGTGTGGGAAGGGCCTCCGCAGAGCTCTTATCTGATCACCCACAGGTGACTTCTCCGTAACACACCCAGCCTCCTATCTCGGGTGAGAAATGAGACACTGAGGAAACGAGGCCGTGAGATATGCACCAGGGGCGTGTCCCACATCACGCTTCCTTCTGCAGAATCTGTCTTAACAAGTGTCAGGATGATGACCAGGAGTGGCGGTGGGCTAAGGTCCAGATGGAGACACTCTGCTAAGCAGTTGTTTTAGTGGGGGATAGAAAACCCCTTCAGCTCCATTCTCAGCTCAGCCTTCTCCTTATACTTGAATGTGCATTTTTGCAAGCTGGAGCCTTTAACCTCAAGGTGTTCTCACTATTGTCCTGGTGCAGAGAACAGCGTCTCCAATCTTCCTCAATTTCCCTCTGAGAAACAAAGTAGTTTGCCACCCCCAAATCCAGCTTCATGAAGTTATCAGGACACAAGCAGGATGAGACCAGATTCTTGACCATACAAACAGCCCCCAGCCATGATCCAAGATCCAGCCAAGATTCAAGAGCCCACCTCCCCCCTGAGATGGTCTTCCTCTGTCCACATTTCCATCGGCATTCTTGTCATCCAGCGTGCACGGCAGGGAAGCTAAGGTGGCAGGGGTCACATGACATCCACAGCCAGGAAGCAGAGCACAGTGAATTCATGCTCTCTGTCTGTCTGTCTGTCTGTCTGTCTGTCTCCACTCACATGGACCAGGATCCACCCATGGAACGGTGCCCCCCACAGTGGGTCTTCTCACTTCAATTAGCACAATAAAAATCATCCCAGCACTGGAGAGGTGGCGGAGGTGGGTTAGAACACTGGCATTTCTTTCAGAGGACCCAGGTTCAGTTTTCAGCACCCACATGGTGGCTCACAACTACTTGTAACTCTGGTTCCAGGGGATTTGAGACCCTCTTTTTGTCCTCTGTTTATTTTGTTGTTGCTTGTTTGAGACAGTTTTCTTGTATAGTCCTTAGCTGACCTGAAACTCACTTTGGAGATCAGGCTGAACTTGAACCCACAGAGCTCTGCCTGCCTCTGCCTCCTGAAAGCTGTGTTTAACAGAGTATTTTGAGATAGGGTCTCACAGCCCAGGCTAGCACAAACCTTCCTGCCTCTGCTTCTCAAACACCTGGATTACAGATGTGTGCTGCCACGCTCATTTTATGCTGGCTGGAGATTTGAACCCAGGGCCTTGTGCATGCTTGGCAAGCCCTGTACCATGAACTCTGCCCATGAAGCACACTCCCACTCTTTCAATTGTTTGGATGATTGTCTTCTACAAAAAAAAAAAAAAAAGGTCACCCAAAGCTTGGTGGCCTACATTGACCATCTTTCAAGTGCATTTTCCAGTCATGGGGTTTGGTACACCTCCGCTGTGTGGCTCCCACTTGGTGTCCATGGTATGTCCAGGTGCCAGCCACTGGAGTCTGGACAGGAGTGGCCGGAGCAGACACAGGCTGTTAGGGCAGGTGTCGATCTGTGTGCCCTCTTCTGGTGGCCAGCTTGGGCTTTCTAAAGTGGTGACGGGTGAGGATGCAGGTTCCGTTTCTAACACCAACATGGCAGCTCACAACTGCTGCTCCCTGTCCTGTCTGGGCCTAGAGCCAATGTGGAGTCTGTGCCATCCTTTTCCATTGCGTGAAACAGACCCATGTGACCCCAGAGAAACCGGAAGTAGGTCCCACTTCTGGGCAGCAATGCTAGCTGATCAGAAAGGAACTCAGTTTCTTTTTCTGTTCATCAGACATTCAGACAAAGCGATTTCTGATTTACGGAAAGAGCCTCTGACCTCCTCACTTTTGCCTGAAGACCATTTGCCTTCAGGCCCGTGCTGCAGCTGGTGTCGTCAAATCCCAGACCTGTGTTAAAAGATCCAGTCTGAGGGACACACTAGCCAGGTCATCTTTTAAATCAACAAGCCTCTGATAACGTCAGACAGGTGTGTGTGTGTGTGGGGGGGGGTCGTTTCATTCTCACTAGACTGAGCATGGCATCTAGTCTTTAAGGTTTCGGGCAGGTCCAAGGAAGCTGGCTTGGTTAACACGTGGCCTCTGCTTTGTAACAGAAGTAGGAGAAGAGGACAGGACAGGGGGCACCCTCTAAAAAGGGGAGTGAGTGGGGCATGGTTAGTGGGTGACTGTGGTCAGGCTGCCATGGACCCTGGGCAGCAGGGGGCTGGTTGTGTTCCCAGCCTGCTCACAGCAGCCCCTGGAGAGTTGGGGGCTTTGTCTCTGTCCTCCCTATGAACTCTATTCCCTTTGTTTGTAAGGATGTATTTATGGTTATTTTTTGTGTGTATGGGTGGTTTTGCCTGCTCACATCTGTATGTACTGCATGTGTGCCAGATGGTGAAACTTCTTTCCTTCTTTCTCTGCTGTTTTTGGAGACAGGATCTCATGTAGCCCAGGCTGGCCTTGAACTCACTGTGTAGCTGAGGATAACCTTTACCCCCTACCCTCCTGCCTCTATCTCCCAAGCGCTGACATTAAGGGTGTGCAACGACCAAACTCAGTTTAATGTGGAGCTGGAGGCAGGACCCTAATGTTTACGTGCTTGGCGAGCACTCTGAAAACCGAAGTAGAGCCTCCGCCTGTGTGGCAAGTGCAGGGACTCACACTGGCTGCCCAAGCACACAGTGAGCTGTCCTCTAGCCTATCCACTGGGCTTTTGATTTTGTTCGTTTGTTTTGTTTTGTTTCGTTTTTGAAATGTGTGTGAGTATTCTGCCTTCACGTATGTCTGTGCGCCACACGTATGCTCCGTGCCCTCAGAGGTCAGAGAGGACATCAGATCCCCTGGAACTGGAGTGAGAGACAGTTGTGAGCTGCTGTGATGTGGTGCTTGGAACTAAACCTGGGTCCTCAAGAAGAACAACCAGTGCTGAGCCATCTCTTCTGCCCTCCACTGGGTCTTAGCCCACCCTCCCTGGCTGTCTCTACCCATAGACTTAACAGTGGTAGCACACAGTCTCCAGGCTCTGCTGTTTGCTGTGTTCCCTGCCCCCTAGCATGGAATCCTGCTCTCTGCTGGTTGCTATAACAATGCCAGAGTCAGGATGCTTTCGTTTTGTTTTGAGACAGGGTTTTGCTTGACGGTCCTGGACTGGCTTTGTAGACCAGGTTGGCCTAAAACTCACAGAGATCTGCCTGCCTCTGCCTCCCTGAGCGCTGGGATCAAAGGCTTGCACCTCCGCACTTGCCCAGCAGGATACTTCTTACAAAAAAAGAGAGAGGGAATTACTTAGCGTGCAGTTCTGGAGACTGGGAATGGAAGGCCATTGTGTTGGTGTGGGAGGAGGAGGGGCTTCTTGCTGCAGTGTGGCGGTGCGGAGGGTAGAATGCCACTTTGCTCTTCCTTCCTTCCTTCCTTTTTTCCCTTTCCTTTCTTTCTTTTTTTCTTTCATTTCTTTCTTTCATTATTTTCCTTTTTTAAAATAATTTTTTATTTATTTTTATGTGCATTGGTGTTTTGCCTGCGTGCATGTCAGTGAGATTCCCTGGAACTGGAGTTACAGGCAGTTGTGAGCCACCATGTGGGTGCTGGGAATTGAACCAGGGTCCTCTGGAAGAGCAGCCAGTGCTCTTAACTGCTAAGCCATCTCTCCAGCACCCACGCTCCTTTTTGTTGTTGCTCTCAAAACAGGGTTTCTCTGTTTTCCATGTGGCCACGCTGTCCTGGATGGAGCTCTGTAGACCAGGCTCTACCTTCCCCGCGCTGGGACTGCAATGCAGAGTCTCAGACTGCACTGACCCTCGGGCTAGGGCTCTAGTTCAGCTAATAGAGTATTTGCCTAGCCAGTAAGAAGTCTTGGTTTCCATCCCCAGGGCCTTCTGTATGGTAAGCAAGCTCTCTGCCAACTGAGCCATCCTTGAGCCACCCTTACCACCTTTGAACTTCAGCGTCCTTGTCACAGCTGCCATGCCTGCCCAAGACAATTCTCTCTGCCCCCAGGACAGAGTAGCTGAGATGGCCCTCTACTTGGGGAAGGAGAGGGTGCTTCAGGGCATGGAAATGGGGCAAGAAGAAGCCAAGACAGTCACATGACCCCCCCCCCCCCAGGGACTTATCTTAGGTCTTCAT